TAAACAAAAGTACCAGTTGTTGTAACAGGGTTTGGATGAGAAATAAATAACAAATGAATATGTTTTATAAACTAAAGTGCTATAGATTATTAGATATTCCAGAGTTCTGTCTCTCCTAGGTAGTTCCAAGAACTCTTGAAATCTTATTACTTCTATGAAGTCTTTTCTTTGGAAGTGAAATTAAGCTTTCCCTGACCACTTGCATTTCTGCTGTAACTGTTCACTACATGCACACGCACATACACACACGCACGCGCGTGCGCACACACACACACATCCCTCTTATACTGGATTTGCTTGCATCTTTATATGCTTTTAAATAACAGTCTGTAATCCAGAACATTCATTTTATAGTGTAAGTTTACACAAAGCAAGTGTTAACTTAGCGAATGCATCATACCAAGTGAGGTCAGTGGCCGATACAGGTATATCCTTATGAAAATGCTATTAATAACGACAGAGATCCAGAAGTGTAAATGAGGTGAAAAACGATTTACCAAGCAACGTGAAAAATCACACATGGTGCGTATCTGTCCTAAAGAGCTCTTACCCCAAGGTCTTAAACATAGTCATAAATCTGCAAGCAAGAGAGGGGTAAAGTCATTGTAATCACTGTTTCTCCTAGTTAGGGGGAAAACCCAACTCTTAAATTTCTGGCTTCCTTGGCCAATGTTTCTTACTGGGCCCTGTTCTCATTTCAGAGCATTAGTAATGCCCATAATATGCTGCCCATTACAACAACTAATGAGCACGCTGACGTTTACATACAGCTTGAACAAATTAGTCATCTGCATTTGAAAGCCCCCGCTGCCGATTGTACATCCATTATTGCTGGAGGCATCTGCATAACTTTTAACATTGAAAAGAATTGGGCTGGGGCGCCTGGGTGGCGCAGTCGGTTTAGCGTCCGACTTCAGCCAGGTCACGATCTCGCTGTCCGTGAGTTCGAGCCCCGCGTCGGGCTCTGGGCTGATGGCTCGGAGCCTGGAGCCTGTTTCCGATTCTGTGTCTCCCTCGGTTCATGCTCTGTCTCTCTCTGTCCCAAAAATAAATAAAAACGTTGAAAAAAAAATTTTTTTAAAAAAAAAGAAAAGAATTGGGCTTCACTTATCAAATTTTAGCATTCGTCTGTGGTTTTTAAAAATTGCACAAGTCAAGGTATGTTAGAAACATAACTGACCACGATGGCATCCGTAATAAGCTTCTCAAGCCTTTTTCTATGTATATTTATTCTGACATTGTTTCCTTTTTGGGGTAGGGACAACATTGTCTTATATTTTATTTGAAATCTTTTACAAGGCAGACTAGAGTCTGAATGGGTACTGTTCAATACACTAATTGAATGGCCATAGGTTATAAAGAATTAATATAATGCTTTCATGGGATTCATGATCAGGTGAATGTCTTCCTATGTTAGAACTTGCAAAGTTGTATGCTACGTTTTAAGACACACGGAGAGTTGGGGTGCCTGGGTGGCTCGGTCGTTAAGTGTCCTACTTCGGCTCAAGTCATGATCTCACGGCTCATGGGTTTGAGCCCCGCATCGGGCTCTGTGCTGACAGCTCAGAGCCTCGCCTGCTTCCGATTCTGTGTCTCCCTCTCTGTCTGCCCCTCCCTTGCTTGCTGTCTCTCTCTTAAAAATAATAAACATTAAAAAAAAATTAAGACACATGGAGACAGAGCATTCATTCATTCATTCATTTCTGCAACTATTGTTTCCAGGCTCTAAGTGCCAGATATCATGCTTAATCTGGGGATACTAAAATGAATTAAGACACAATTGATTGTTCTCAAGAAACTATGTACTGGAGGAGAGACACATAAAAACAGACTTTGATATCATAAATTATATATTGGATCGCACATGAAACGTTTACTTGCCCTTTGGCTCTAAGTTTTATTAGAAATGATTTGCTATTGGGGCGCCTGGGTGGCGCAGTCGGTTAAGCGTCCGACTTCAGCCAGGTCACGATCTCGCGGTCCGTGAGTTCGAGCCCTGCGTCGGGCTCTGGGCTGATGGCTCAGAGCTTGGAGCCTGTTTCCGATTCTGTGTCTCCCTCTCTCTCTGCCCCTCCCCTGTTCATGCTCTGTCTCTCTCTGTCCCAAAAAAATAAATAAACGTTAAAAAAAAATAAAAAATAAAAAATAAAAAAAAAAGAAATGATTTGCTATTTTGTGATCCCTTTTAAAATGTAATAAAAGATAAAGTTCGATTTCCCAAATGGTCATAACTGAAAGTGAACATACAGATAATTCTACTATAAGAAGTCACACAAATGTCTTGGGAAAACACTAAGTTTCATCAGAGTGGTGGTTTTTTAAAACCATGTTAGAATTCATCCTTCTTGCTTCATTCAACAAGTGTGTATTGATAGGTTTCTCAGTGCTTACTAACTACACTGTAAGCCCCAAGAGACCTGGATTTTTGTTGTCTGTGTTCTCCCAGTAGCACAGAATAGAAGCTTGATTCAACTTTATTGACTGAATATTCAAAGAACTCAGGGTAGCCTGCCAGATTCTGAGTGTGCCTTAATGAATAAGGGTGGCTCCTACCTCCCCACATAGAGCTTACAGTCTAATGAAAAACTGGACTTGATGTTCTCCCTGAAATTTTAACACTCTCTCCCGAAAACTGAACACTTGTTAAATGAAAGACCCAGGAAGGTGATATCATCAGATCATGAAACTAAAACACACTTTTTTTTTTTCAACGTTTTTTATTTATTTTTGGGACAGAGAGAGACAGAGCATGAACGGGGGAGGGGCAGAGAGAGAGGGAGACACAGAATCGGAAACAGGCTCCAGGCTCTGAGCCATCAGCCCAGAGCCTGACGCGGGGCTCGAACTCCCGGACCGCGAGATCGTGACCTGGCTGAAGTCGGACGCTTAACCGACTTTGCCACCCAGGCGCCCCTAAAACACACTTTAAATACAGTATCCAACACTTTAAATACAGTATCTTTTGTATTTACTTTCATATATACATGCATGCATATGCACGTGCACATGTATAAAACTGCTGTTTTTCCCCCACGGATCTTATCTGGTGGGGTTTTGGGGAGGCTCCTAGCCATGGCTACAGAGGGGTGTCTGGCCCACCCACACATATCCTAACCAACAGCCTCCCAGTCTGTTGTTTTTCAAAATATCACATTATTATTATTGTTAGTATTGGTAAGTAGATACCAATATTTCGGTGCTTCTGTTTGACATTCGGTAAAATTCAAATAAAAATGACCACTTTAACATCAAAGATGAGGAAAATCAGTGACACTATGGAGACGCCTCCATTTTTAACCACACCAAAACCTGTTCTTTAAGCCTGACTAAAATTAGTGTATAATGGAGACAGGTTTAAGCTGTGTTTGAGAGGAACAAGTACTGTATCCCTACTGCAGTATATTTCTGTAAATATATATTTCAGTACACTAAACTTTATACCTTGTATTTTTACAAAACAATACCGATGCCTGGAAACCTTGTTCTATTGAATTTCGCTGTAATAACAGTTGTCGACATGCGAGGCACCCTCGGATGGAAAAATGAATCCTATCAGGAGGATCTAAGTGGGGTGCTGCGGGTGAAACGTTCTTGCTGGGTCCACTAACCCTCTTTATCCAGAATTCAGAGCAGTAAAGAAGTGCCCCTGTTGCTCAACACGTGATACGAAGACTTCTCAACTTGGAAGCACAAGCCCAATCTGGGAGGAAAGCAGTGCTATTTGGCAAAGATGAAAACCAACAGAGGTCAGGAAGGAGAACCTCGGGACTGGGGTTTGGACCTGGCGGACGAGGCCAGCTGCAGATCCCGGCGACACCGCGCCGCCCAGGTCATCGGCCCCCGCGTCTCTTCTGCCACCGCGTTACTGCCACCATCGAGTGCCTTCCACTGCCGAGGGGACGTCCTCCGCAGACGCTCGCCCCCGGGGG